CTGATTTCTACTGAAAATATAAGTCCTGATGGTGTGATAGTCAAAGTTCTCAGTTACGAAGGTCAGTGGTTCAAACACACCAGCTGCTCTGTGGGAGAAAGATGTGTTAATCTGCTTCTGTAAAGACAGACAGCCTTGGAAACCCCAAAGGCAGGGTGACTGTCCTAGGGTCATTATGAGTCGCAATCAACTCAGTGGCAGTGGATACACAGAAAGCTAGATGGATTCTAATTCTGTTTCATTGCCGCCTTCTCACCTTTTACCTACTACAATCAGCCTTCCTTTAACTCCCAGGTGTAGGACCTACTAACTTTAATGTCCCGTTCTTCATTTCACCTCAAAGACCAATCAGCAGCATCTGGCACTTTCCTTTCTGAAAAGCCTTTTTCCAGCTCGACGCCTGCAGTTTTTCTTGTACCTCTGGAACCTCTGCTGCGACTTCTCTGTGTCTTTGGATTTTACTCTCTGCTTTCTCCTCATTCTGTATGGTCAACAGTCATGGTTTTACATCTTTTATGCTGAATGACCCCCAGAACTCAATTGTGCCATGAACTCCAAAATTAAGTAACCATGTCATCACTGAAAATCTAAGGAGTCTCACAATAAATCGCCCCTCTGCTGAAACCTGCTCAAGTTCTAATTTGGTTCCTGACACTGGTGTCCACAGGAGTCTCCTAGGGCATCCCCTATCCGGTTACAGCCCTGGAGAGTCTAACACTTCCTGTCCAACATTCTCTTTTTCCTAGCTATTTTCATGCATCACTTTGAAAAACTCCAAAGGGCATCTATTTTAAAAAATGCAAAACAATCACACTACTTCCTTCCTTAAAAACTATCTCATGACTTCCCACTGTTTGAGGTTAAAGTTCACACTCGCTAGTGCAGGTCCCAAGGTTGACCAGGCACTGCCTTTCTCACTTCTTCCTCTTGTCTCTCTGCACAATCTCTCCACTAAATCACAAAAGAAATCCTGTTACCACCAAGTGGACTCAGATTAACAACAAGCCTGTAGGATAGAGTAGAACTGTGCCACAAATTTCCTAGGCTGTATCTTACTAAAGTAGATTGTCACATCTTGCCCACAGAAAGTGGTTAGTGGGTTTGAACCACAGTTTGGCTGGTTGCTTTGGCCACTACCATGAGGATGCCTTCAGCCTCAGCTTCTTACTCTAAACTCCAGTTTGTGTCCCCACCTTACTCAATCCACTGCACTGCTTCATGCCTCTCAATCACTGTCTTCCTAATTTTCTCCTCCTACCCAAAGATTTAATAACCTATTATCCAACAGATTTGGTGAATGTTTACTATGTGACAGCCCTAGGTTAGCTACAGACACTGTCCCTAGCCTTATAACTTCCCCAGAAAGGAACACATGAGTTCATCTGTATTTTGTTACAAAGCATTTTCCTCTATCTTAATGATAGGTCTGCCATACTCTACTGCAAACCAAACTGAGACTCAAGCTCAAACTCAAGGTTAAGTCAGAAGCAAATCAACTGATCTTGGAATGCGTTTTCAGAGCCTATCTCCCAGCTATGAATGGCCCAGTCATGGGAGAGGGGCCATCTTTGAATGAGCTGGGCAACTCCCGACTGACAGGTTACGAGAACTCCCCTTACTGCCAGACATGTTATTAATGCACAAAACAGACTGTCCACTTTTGTCTAGTGTTATAAAGTCAAAATGTTGGACAACAAGACAGTTGATCAATGAGTAGGGGTATTCCTGCAGGTAAATAGTTCTCAGCTTGGACTACTGAGATCACTTTTGTCTTTCCTCTGAAGATCAAAGCTCCTAGTCAAACAAAGAACCTTTATCTTCAAATGCAAAAGTATGTTTCAAAGAAAACCCCCCTGACTACAGATGCTACCGATGGGAGAGATAAAATACTTGGAAGTAAAAAAGAAAACCCATAGTCATAGGTCTATCATACTGGGATAAAAATTGTAAGGAAAAAAATTTTCAAGTTTAAGTTGAATTAAAAAAAAATATATATAAAGAATTCTTTACTCACTCATTCAGTCCTTGCTTTCAAATCAGAACTCATAGAGCTAACCCTCTGGTGGGTTTCTAAGACTGCAAATGGCTCGCCTTTTTCCCTTGAAACTACAGGCCAATGCCTAGTTCTATTGTGGATGGGTGCCACAGAACTGATTCAGACTCACAGCAACACCAAGTAACTGAGGAGAACTGCCCCATAGTGCTTTCTTGGCTGTACTCTTTGCTGAAGATAACCAAGTCTTTCTGCCACAGCAACAGGGTAGGTTTGAATGATGGACCTTTCATTTAGCAGTGAAGCACTTAACCATTATGCTACCAACCAAAGCAAATCACACCCACTGCTAGGAATTAGTTCTGACTCAAGACAACCACGCGCCACTCAGCCTACCACACCAACAACTGAAGCCCCAGCCACTGCCTTCAAGTCAATTCAAAGTCAGTGCAAACCTCCATCAGTTTTTTAAGGCTTGTAAATCTTTGTAGGCTAAGGCTGCCTCAAAACATCACTCAGTTCGCAGACCAGCCAGACCAGCACCTAACACAGGAGCCAAAAGAGCTCCTTGAATGCTCTGGAAAGGATTATGCATATAAACAAGAGCAATCTGACCACCAGCAAACTGACCGGCCAGCAGGTTTTCAAAGGCAGTAACCTGCACAGGAAAAGACTGCCCTGTCAATTCAAATCCCATGCCTTTGCATTGGCAACAGAATTGTTTACCACTAAACCACCAGACGAAGGAAAGCAAGACCCTCACGTATGTGGAGGGACACAGTGACTGCCACAATGGGCTCTAGTGTGTCAGGAAGTATAAAGATGGCACAGGATAGAACAGGGTTCAGATCTATCGTTCACAGGGTCACTATGGGTTATATTCGATTTGACAGTACCATGCCTCTGGAAATTCTATGAACTTTGAGAAACGGCAAGCCTTTCTTATAGAATCATGCTCGACTTGATGATAATCATCATCAACAAAGTCATCAGCGCTCCCAAAATTCACTGTTGAGCTAAATTCCCTCCAGGCTGCAGTTTCCTCCTGGATAGAAGGTATTTTGAGTACTTGTTTTGGAGACATTTAGACCTAACAGTTCACTTGATTCTAACAACCCATATACTTTTTGGTTAGTTTTGTGGTTGGTTTGTTTTTTAAATCAATGTTATTAATTCCAAATCTTCTTTGAAATGATTTATTCATTCCTTTGGAAACACAAAGATCAAACTAGTCATCAAATGTTGTTGTTTTTGTTGTTGCTGTTAAGTGCCAATGAGTCACAGGCGACTCATAGCGACCCTATGAAGGAGAGTCCTCCAGGTTTGGGTGCCTTTCATCCTCTCTCCAGGTTCAAAGGGTTTCTGGAGGCAAACTATTATGGAAGTGGATGCCGCCACTCCTTCCAACCTTGTTTTAATCTGGAGCTCCACCCCACTCTCTGTCCACACTGGGTAGCCAACCGTTACTGCATTTGACACACCAGTGTCACAGTGTTCGGTCTCACAGCAACCAAAAGTGGCCGTGGTCATCAAATACCAATAACATTTACAGGGAATCCATGGAGTGGGCTTAGAATAACTCCATAAAGCAGACCAGAACTGCTCTTCAAGCCTGTAGACCTGTGTGGACACAAACTACCTGATCTTCCTCCTGCTGAGAGGCCTGTGGGTTAGAAAGGCCAAAGTTTCAGTTAGCAGCCAATGAATGCATAATCCAGGGAGTCACCAGGGCTCCATTAAAGGAAGGGAGAGAGATTCAAAAATTTCTGGAACAGCAATGAATACAATCCTTTCAGATCACTTTAGGCAATCTTCCTTAAACTCTACCTGTTTAACAACTAGGAATCATTGTTTCAAGGTCTGCTCAGCATGTGTCATTTCCCCTTCTAGCAGGGATTGTCTAGATAAAGAGGTTTAAATTCTCTGGGAACACAAACTTCTACTGATGTACACTCACTCACTCTTTGCTGTCACGTTAGAACTGACTCACAGCAGACCTTCCAGCTTGTTTTCAACGGCTGTAAATCACACAGGAGATCCATGACCATCTTTCACAGAGTAGCTGGTGGATTTGAACAGCCTGCTTGGGTTGGGAGTACAACTCCTCACCAACTAGGCCAGAGCTGTACAGTATTTACTAATTATTGGCTTAAAGGCCTCAGGCCCTTGGCCTCCACCACCTCCATTCTTTGGGACAATGGACCCTATTTTACATATCTAGGTGACCAACAGCTCACAGCATCAACAGCACTGCCCTTGAGCTGTGCTGCCAACCCAAAAGCAAGTGGTTTGAATCCACCACTTCTTCTACGAGAGAAAAAAGGGTGATCTCATCATTAACTGCCTCTGAAAATCCTCTGGAGGGTCAGCTATGGGCTGGCTGCGACTCCACCTTACACAACAGCAGTCTTTGGTATGAAACAGGTGCCCAACAAAAACGCACCCGGCTTGGGCATAAACACTGCAGAACTGAGGGGTGAGGGAAGAAACTTCGGAAACCATCTAAACACAACACACACGTTTACTAGTAAACAGCTACAAAGGTTCATTTTAAAAATTAACATATTGCTCATCTACATGAATGCTAGGAAACTTGGAAGCCTCCGTGAACGTGCCGCAAAGCCACTTCGAGGTGGAGAAAGGGGGCAGCTGCGCCAGAAACGAGCGCAGCCCATCCCGGCTCCATAGGGAGACAGACCGGCAGGGAGGAAAGCAAAGTCCCAGGACCAGACTGCAGGCGCGCGGGTCCAGAGGCCCAGGGCTGAGCCGAGAGCGGAGGAGGGGCCGAACCGGGGAGCGCGAGGGGGAGGCGCCCGCAGCCACGGCTCCGGGGAGGGGGTGGCGTTCCCTTGACAACGGCGCCTAGGCGCAGCCCTTCCTCTGGGCCGGGGAGGGGGCAGCAGGGAGGGGCGTCCTTGTCCCGAGGCGGCGGCGCGCGGGGACCCCCCTCAAGAGTAGCAACCGCGGGCCAGGCCTCGGGCCTTTTGGCACCGCGGCCCGCGCCTACCGTGTATCCCCGCTCCAGGTCACTCTCTTCGTAGCGAAAGGACGGGATGTAGACCTCCATGGCCGCACCAGCCGGCCGGCGGAGGGCGGGCCGGGGGCGGCCGGGGGCGGAACCACGGCCGCAGCCACCACCCCGCCCCGGCAGGGCGCCCCGCCTTCCTGCGCTCCGCCCCGGCCCTGCCCCGGGACCGAGCGCGCGCACCGGACCCTTGACCCCCTGCTGCACGCCCACCCCGCCGCCCCGGCGCTCAGGCGGGCTTGGAGCGAGGGGCCAGGCCTTCCTGGCGGTGGCGGCGAGATCAGCTGGGCCCCAAGGAGGCGGGCTCTGGAAACCTGCGAGTCTGCAGAAAAGGGGTGTGCGCACCGCCATGCCGGGCTCTGGGCCTCACCCGGTGCTCGCTGCCTTCGGGGCGCTGGTGGCGGACGCTTGGTTTGTAATTTGCAAAACCACCACCCACAGCAGATTGCTAGACAACTATTAACCGAAAAGCCTGGAATTTCTGGTTTTGTTTCAGTTGGGTGAATTTTTGTTTTAACTCCATCTGGGTCTTAACAGCAGCGAACCCTGCACCTTTTAACAAAACTTTTGTTTCCCCAAAAGTCATGGGTCAGCGTATTCTGATCTACCCGGGATTATTGTGAAATGATACTGTAGAGTCACTGAGAGTCTGGCTGCTTCTGACTTCTAATGTTGAAAAGCTGTCTTTTTATAAAAGGGCTTTTTTAACTATGATGGGGTGGGAGGAAATAAATATAGAACCCTATGACCTTGATGTGACTCGGACTTGTTGACCTTACAAGCGTTTCCGAGACTATAAAGCTTTTCTCTCCAGCCTATTGAATTCAACCCAATAATGATTAGCCACCCAAGCCAGAACACTAGCCACCAGGGGTTTATACGAGAGAAAATAACAAGATACCCAAAAAAAGTAAGATAACGGCCACCTGCCCTCAGGCCTGAGGCTAGTTACCCAAAGGTAAGATTAAACCTCCATCTCAGCTGAGGAAACTTGGTTATCAAATTGTGAAAACTTGGAGGTTGTGGTGAAAAGTGATTGGCACTTGCCCTGCCAGCCAGCAAGTTGCAGCACTTGAGGGTTTTTTGGCCTATAGGCAACACACTATGTTCTTGGAAGAATTACAGCTATACCAACCTCACAAACTCTGGAGTTCAGGAAACAAATCCCTAGGCTATAAGGAAATTAATAGTGATCAGACCCCTTGTTATAAGTACCTGCTTTCAAGGACATCTTTAAAGTGCTAAGCACAAAGGATGTCTGTCCGTTTAAAGACTGAGCCAAGTCGTGGTATTTTCAACTGTTTCTTAGGGATCTGAAAGGCCAATGATAAAGATGTCCTAAGAAGCAGTGTTTGAGACGGCAAGGTTGGCACAGGATAGAACGGCGTTTAGGGCTCTTGTACATAGGGTCGCTATGAGTCGCAAGCGACTTTGATGGCACATAACAACAACAACAACAATATATAATGAGCAAATGAATCTGTCTTGGAGGAAGTGCAAAACCAGCATACTCCTTGGAGGCAAGGATGGTTGTCTGCAGGGGCCAGTTCATGGACGATGACTGGCTCCTATTGGGAAAGGTAGAGAGAGTCAATGAAAGAGTAGATGGGTAACGAACATGGCATTGGAACAAAGGAAGGAAAGAACTGTTTAAAGGAACATATGGCTAGACATTTTACCTATAACAACAGCCCAGAATAAAAGGTACATTGAAAAGAGGGCTGGGGTGGGGGTGTAATTGGGCTACAATGAATAAGTATTTTTTTAAAAAAAGTGAACTGGGGAAAAAGGCAGGGAGAGGGGGTAAAATGTGCAACAATGAATGAATATCTAGATTTTCTGTATACTTTTGTTAAAGCCACAGTTAAAATTAAAAAAAATATGTTTTTACAAAAGGGAAGATCCTTAATTTAATGGGTTGACGCTGACAATAATAATGGACTTGAGCATGGTAGAGGGCATGAGGACTCTGCAGCTTGGTGCAAGGTTCAGAGCTGTTCATCTGGTTGTTATGTGTCATAGTTGATGGCATCTAATAACAGCTTACCTGATGTGGGCTTTGCAAAGCCTCATATGAGAGAACCAACCTCTAACCACAGCCTACAGCTCCTGGATGTGACTTTTTCCTAGAATTTCATGCTTTAGCATCAGCTGTGTCCTAACCGCCTCTTCTACTTTTCTTCTCCTGACTAACACCTGCTAAATAGTAACAATTTCATTACACCCTTGAAGTTTAGAATCCAATTTACAGGTTCCTTTAAGTCTCTGTGCTGACTTACATTGTATTTATTGTATGACTTAACATTTTATGATTTATTCATCTGCCTCACCCACTCAGTTTAGGACAGTTATCTTTTTAATTGTCACAAGTAAACTCATACTCTTTATCTCCTGCTTATAAAATAATGTTTGGCCCAAATGTCCAACCACAATTGAATGGATTGAGAAATTATGGTACACTCACAAAATGGAATACTACGCAGCACGCAGGAACAATGACTTTGTAAATCACTACCTAATTTGGGAGGGACTAGAGAACATTAATTTAAGAGAACTCAGTCCCATAAGGATTAATAATGTATAAGACCATGATTATAGAAAGGTAACTAGTAAAACGTGTGTTAAGGGCTCAAGGAGAAGAGGGTAGGAGCAGAAGGGTGAGGATGGGTGGAGGGAGGATCAGTTAATCATAGGGTTACCCAATTTGATGGGTAGAGGGAGGGATAAGTAAAGGAAATGAGAAAGACCGGTGTGAAAAATAGTGTATACAAACTTTATAAGTAAACCAGTTGTTGTTGTTGTTATGTGCCATACAGTCACTTGTGACTCATAGCGACCTTTTGTACAACAGCCCTAAACTCTGCTCTGTATCATTCGCACTGTCTCAAATACACCCATCCCGATTACCCCAGTCACTGAGTCACTGAATCAGTCCGCCTCATAGAGGGTCTTCCCCTCCTGCGCTGTCCCTCCACCCTCCCAAGCATGATGTCCCTCTCCAAGGACC